TTTATTACATTTTCTAAACTTGTATTGAAGTATTAGTAGCATTACTAGTAAAATTTTCATGAAGTTCTTTTTCATATGAATGTTATAAATATCCTTGATATAACAAATTGCAATTCTTCTTGAACTGAATAGAAATTCAAAAATCTTCAAATTGATTACTATGTATTCTTAGACTTGGAGTTTCAATCTAAGTTATTAAAGGTTTTTCTTAAATTTTACTATTTTATTTACTAAACTAAAATATAGAAGTTTATAAGTTAGTCTCTATACTAAGTCATATTTTTATGTAGTAAAAGGGTTACTTGAAGAGAAGAAACATTTAAGTTTGGTGGATTTTGATACGCCTAAAAAAAGTGCAATTTTTCATTTGCTTTTACTACCTATATTTGGTGATTTTCAATGATAATGCACTTTAAAGGAAGGTATTTTGTATATTTTTTAGTTTCAGGTACAAAAAATAGAGTTTTGGAGAAAAAGAAGCAAAAATTTATCCTAAGTCATGTTTTTATGTAGTAAAAGGGTTACTTGAGGAGAAGAAACATTTAAGTTTAGTGGATTTTGATACGCCTAAAAAAAGTACAATTTTTCATATGTTTTTACTGCCTATATTTGGTAATTTTCAATGATAATGCACTTTAAAGTAAGGTATTTTGTATATTTTTTGGTTTCAGGTACAGAAAATGGAGTTTTGGAGAAAAAGAAGCAAAAATGATGTAATTTAGAGCAAAACCGAGCAAGAAAGAAAATTTTGTCCTAGCACATTTCAATATGTATTTCTATGTTTAATCTATTTTACACTTCTCACACATTTTTAAATGAAATTACACTTTAAATAAAGGTTGTTTCATGCTTATTTTGTAGGTTTATCTGTTAGGAATGTAACGCAACTGAAACAGGGCGAAACAGAGCTAAAACGGAGTCAAACGAAGGAAAATGGTAGAGCTGCGTAGGGTGGGCGCCGACAGTGCCAGAGACGGCGCCTGCGGAGCTGAAGAGCAAAGAAACGATAAGAAAATGGCGCCGACAGTGACCAAAATGGCGCTTATGGCGCCCGACACTGTCATGGATCAATTTTTGGCGGTTTTGGATGTTCTAGAAGGCTCCCAAGTGATTCAAACACCCCATGAAGCAATTTAATGAATGTAGACACTTGGATAAGGCTCTTGAATGAGGAGACATGTCTTTGGGATGAATAGATTTCTCTCTTCGAAAAAATGAGGGAATTTGTGTCTCTTTAAAAAAAAGGGCCTGGCTCCTTTCATTTGCATGCGTGTGTGTGTGTGTGTGTGTGTGAGGGTGTGTGTGAGTGAGAAAATGTGGAGAATGTTTAGCGATCTTAGAATAGAAGTAAAAATGTAGATTTCTACCTTTTTGGAGAGATTGGTGAGGGGATTTTGAGAGAATTTGTAAGGGAATGTTCTAGCATTGCATGAATCAATGGGAGACTTTGTGGGAGAGATTTTCATCTTTCTTTCAAGGGTAAAAAGTTAAGTATTGTGTTTTTCATTATCTTATGATTTTGTGAACACTTATCTAATGGATGTGCTTTGATGTAATGAAGTTTTTTGTTGTGTTTTCTTCGTGCTTTGTGATGTGTTTCTCTTACTCTTTCTTCTTCTTTGGAAGTAGTGGCATGAGAGAATTATGCCAATATTTTCCTTTTAATTTTCTTTTACAATGAGTAAGATTCATGTTTTGCATTTTGGGATGCATGCTTGAAGAAGTTTTAATTATACATTTTGGGATGCATGCCTGAAGAAGTTTTAATTATAAATGTGAAGGTTTTTACTTGCACTTCATTTACATTACAATACAGGTCTATTGTAGTGTTAAAATTCGTTGTAATTGCATTAAGACCCAAGAGGGCGATGTAATTCTCAAAAAAGTGAAACCACATTCAAATTTCATGGATGGTGAAGTTTATGGGGGGTTGGATGCAAATAAATAGGGAAATATACTTTGATGGGCATAGAATTAGAGATTTTAGAGTGACAGACTAAAATCCCCAATTCGGTTTTAGTGTTCAGAGGAAGGGAAGTGGGAGCTCTGGAGTGGGAGCCAGTATCCTCCTAGCCTAGTCACGAATTTAGGGACAAAACCTGAGATTTGCCAATGATTTTCTATAACACTGAATAAGGGTAGAGAATTAAAATTGCTCCTATTTGACATATACAATATTTAATGTATCTCATTCCTTTGCATTATCTAATTCACTACATAAGAATAGTAGTTTTTTTAACATCTTAAAGTTCTCCAAACCAACTCATCCAAAAAGGGTTACCTTTAGAATTTAATATTTACATTTAGGAATAGTTACTATCCTTATTTTTAAAATTCGCATTTTGGAGTAGTTGCTAGATAAAACATCATTTTAATCGACATTCCAAACTAAGGACTAATAGTAGTAAACTGGAATTTGACTAAGGACATCTTTCCTCACTTCCTTGTGGGATCGAAAATCGGGGCTTAATCAGAAAGTCCTATATTACTTGAGCGATATGTATACTTGCATTTAAATCGTTGTGACTATATAGAATATATAAAATTAAGCATATAAAAAAGTTGCATCATCTACTAGTTAATAGTTTATGGTTATTAATGTACCTGGGATGATGGAAAGCCATGGACATCTTAATTGCCTGCATCACTCTATGATTTAAGTTACTCCACTTATAGTTTCCAATTTAGAGATGCTTAATTTAGGGCTTCACCTCGATCTAGAAATCTATTACCTTTAGATTAGGATGTCTCTAAACTAAATCCAATCAAACTTAACTCTATCTAATCAAACTTAACTCAATATTTTTCAAAATCAAACTCAACCTAACTCTAACTTAACCTAATCCTTTCAAACCCGAGTCTACCCAATCCAAATCAATCTAAATCCATTCAAGATTAAACCTTTCCAAATCCATTCAAATCAAACCAGATAAAATTAAATTCAAGTTCAATTTTTTTTCTCAAACCTAACCCTTGATTCAAGCTTTGTACCATTAATCTGACTGTCAACTATTGGGCCCATTCCTAAGGGTGCAAACATTTTTAAAACTCAAGTGAAGTCAACCATTGTCCATGTCTACCCCTTTTATGTATGTCTTCAGCTCTATCATTTCACAAACAATCATTGATGAATAGGAAGTATATAAGGCATAACTTTAACCAAGAGTGTTCTTAAGAATAACTCTTGAGATGTAATTAACTATGAGAGTATCTTTTCATAGGGATACTATGTTAGTATAAAGAGACTATAAACTAACTTTATTATTGATTGAAAATTAAAAGTTAAAAACTTCAATATAAGAATTTCAGTAAAACGGTTGTCTCATTTTCATGTAAAACCAAATTTTTAGTTAACGTTGGTTCAATCTTTAATAAGTAATTTCTAGAAATTTTACAAAATTATTTAATATAAATTAGGAAAATAAAGAATCAGTAATTAATTTGCTAAAATTTTTAATACTGATTCTCATGGAAATATATCCTACTCACTTTATATTACTTACGTGGCACATGCATTTATGTATTATATGTTGTTGGCAGATTTTTAGCATATGGTATATTATCTTACATGCATATAGTGCTTTTGCAAATTTATGTGTCATTTCATTTTACTTGTAGATAATCGCTTATCAATCGTATAGTCATTAAAAGTTTCATCTGGTCATCTCGTACAATCATTATAAGCTTCATCTTGTAGAACAATTAAAAACATTTATTATATTATTAAAATATCAGCAAAGATACTCTTAAAGTATACATTTCATACATCCTTTTATTCATACATTTATTTTTAACAATAAGCAAAAAAATATTTATGAGAATTGAAGTGAAAATTAAATTCTAAGTTTTTTTTAAATAATTTGAAATATAAAAGGCTAAGTTTTTAAAACAGTAATTTTCATAATCTAAATTAGATGAATCAGTACTTAAAAAGAAATGACTGAAGGTATGCCTATTGTACAATATCTGAATGATTATAATATTATCACAAATCAATTATGGTCTGTGGAAATTGAATTTGATGATGAGATATGTGCACTGATCTTGTTGTCTTCATTGTCAAATAGCTGGGAAGCTATGAGGATGGTTGTTAGAAACTCTACAGGTAAATCTAAACTTAAATATGAAGATATTTGTGATTTGATTTTGGCTGAGAAGGTGCGCATGAAAGATTATGACAAGATCTCAAGTTCGAGTTCAACATTAAATGTTGATTACAGAGGGATATCACATGACAGAAACTCAAACAGAAGAATATCAAAATCAAAGCACAGAAACAGGAGCAATTCAACGTCTAATCAGAAAGCAACTTGTTGAAACTGTGGCAAAACTGACCACATAAAGAGGAACTGCAGAAATCCAACGAAGACGGAGAATGATAGCACAATCATGGCAACTGAAGAAGCATAAGATGCACTACTGCTGACAGTTTATACTTCTGTTGATGACTGTATACTGGATTCAAGGGTTTCAATCCATACAACTTTTCATCGGGAATTGATGCAAAATTATGTTGCATGTGATTTTGGGAAAATATATCTAGTAGATGGAGAAGCTTTGAATGTGGTAGAATGGGAGACATTGAGACATTACACTTCCGAACAATAACAAGTGGACTCTGCAAAAGGTCAGACACATTCCTAAACAAAAGAAGAACTTCATTTATGTTGTGCAGCTTGATGAGTGTGGACATTCAATAGTGTTCCCAGATAGAACCTGGAAGGTTACTAAAGAAGCTTTGGCACTAGCTCGGGGTAAAAAAATAAGTACGTTTTATATGACTACTGGTTTAATTAACAGTGTTGATATTATTGTTGCAGAAAGCACAACAAAGTTGTGGCATTGCAGACTTGGCCACATAACTCAGAAGAGTATTAAAGAACTTTTGTTTAGAGGCGTGTTACCAGAACTGAAGTCAGTTGATCTCAGCCTATGTGAGATTTGCATTATGGGGAAACAGAGGAAGATCAGTTTCTTCAAAATTGGTAGAACACAAAATGTAGGAAAACAGGATCTTGTACAAACAGATGTGTGGGGAGTTTCCTAAGTAGCATATCTTGGAGAGTCTCGTTACTACGTCACTTTCATTGATGATCATAGCAGAAAGGTATGGGTCTATTTCTTGAAGCATAAATTTGATATATTTAATGTGTTTAGGACTTGGAAGGTCATGATTGAGATAAAGATAGACTTAAAGCTAAAATTTCTGAGGTTTGATAATTGTGGTGTGTATATTGATGGTGGGTTCAAGAAGTATTGTGTAGCTCAAGGCATCAGAATGAAGAAAACCATCCCAGGGACACAACAACAAAATGGTGTTGCAGAGTGCATGAAGAAGACCATTCATGAGCAGGACAGAAGCATGAGATTGCACGTCAGACCACCACCTACTTTCTGGGCAGAAGTGGTCAGCACTGTAGTTTATTTGATAAACATTGCCTGAGGAGGTCTAGATTGGGAAAAAGTTCAAATTTTCTCACCTTAAAACCTTTGGATGTCTTTCTTATGTTCTAATTAATCCTAATGCTCCAAGTAAACTTGAGGCTAAGTCAAACAAGTGTTATTTCTTTAGCTGTGGAGTGAGGCATATGGGTATCGTTTCTGGGATAATCAAAATTGAAAAATCATAAGGAGCAGAAATGCGATTTTCAATGAGAATGTTATGTGCAAGGACAAGTCCAGTACAGTTTTTTAAATATAGGTATGAATTTGGGGCATTCGTAATAAGTGTAATTTATTGATCAAGTGTTATCTTTTGAATGATATCAAAATAGTCTAAATTAGATGAAAACTGAGCAATGTGTGTTTATTTAATTGTTAGAAGTTGATCTCTTTTAACAATATTTATATCTGTAAGTGGGCCCATGATTTCTAGCCCCAAGTACGTGGAAACTCAGTATGCATATATAAATTTTTCTTTTTGAGTACCAATTTATCTAATTTAATATAATAAAATAACAGTTTTAAAAAATTTAAACAACAAACTTCTTTATTGCAATTTTAGAACAACAATAAAAAAAATATTAAGGAATCTGATGCAAATCAATAAGACGTTCATGAGTGCCCAATGGCAACAAAATTAGATCTTTCAACTCCTTACAAAATATGTACATTCATATTTTCTGTCGTTCATATAAACCAAAGGACGGCAAAAGGTCAAGATACCTCTTAGAAAATATATCGGAATTACGATTAGTAGCATATATTTATTTGGCCCGTAGAGAAGCTATGGGGAGGCAAGGAGCGGAGAGGTGATCTTGAAATCTTACGATATGAAGGAGGAAGTTGGTGAGATGAATCAAAAGGACAAGCACAAAGTGCCATTTTACATGTTGTTCTCATTTGCTGATACTACAGACATATTTCTAATGATTCTGGGGACTGTTGGAGCGCTGGGAAATGGAGCTGCTTTTCCTATCATGACAATTCTATTCGGAAAGATAATACAGGCGTTTGCAGGAGCTGAACAAAATAATGCCGTTACTCCAATGGTTTCAAAGGTACTTTTTCTTGATTTTTCCGGTATTCTATGCTTATTTTGCAAGTAGCCTTCTATTTTTTATTTTTTTTTTTTTTTTTTTTTTCTTTCTTTCTTTAGGGTATGCAAACAATATCTCGGATGAGAATTTTAGTTTTTATTATCATTGGTATCAGAACACCTTATGAGCCTGAAGATATATATACGAGAATTATTTTGTGTTATATATAACAAGATACTACATCACGGGAGCCATATTTTGAACTTATATAGAATAAAGTGCTACAGAGTGGGAGCCACATTTTCAATCCATTGGGGCCACCATTAGAATCTTATACTATGTGGATAATTATGAGTTAGTAATTTTAACAAGGATGCTGATTACTTAAGTGGAATAATTATTTTGAAGCCCATGAATATGATAAAGTTGAACACTTAAACAGCAAGGCCTTTTTTGGTATAACGGTTAAAGTTTCATTAGGAACATCAAAATTACGGGTGATCATGCAGCAACACTTATAAGATGGGTGACTTTGTGGGAAGTTATGCCAATGAGGCAAAATCATACGGCTATTAGGCTGAAGCGCACAATATCTTGGTCGAAGAGTATAGGCTATAGCTAGATCAATTAATTTTTTTGTAATAACTCATTGTTTAAGAAATTTCACATGATGTTTATTTCTTGCTAACAACATTAAGTTGGTGGAAAAAGATAAAAACTATAAAAATAATAGTTTACCCAAGAACTATACTTTTAATTAAATCATGACTTATTGAATAAATCATGTTTCTTAGACTTCTTCAAAGTTGGTGATTATCAGAAAATAGTAGGCCGCAGAAGGATTTATTAAAATTAGAACAGATTGAGCTAATTAATTGAGCATGCATAGCTATTTTAATGAACAAATCACTATTATTATGTCGGAATACATTAATGATTGGGAAATAAAGTTATTTTGAGATATATAGAGCTAGAAACAGATGAGTAGATGGAGATAGAGAGAGAGAGGTAGAAAGGGAATACCCACAAATGGAGAGAGAAAGAGAGAGAAAACTATAAAGCTAAGTTCACATAACCTTATTCATTTCGGACCAGATTTAGCTTATCCTTTTTCAAGGTTATATTTGAACGGTATAGTTTACGACAACCTGATGCTAACAATGGAAAAAATCAATATGAATGCTAAATATATGACTAAATTATCAAACCTTAGAAAAACGGTCCCAATTGAATTAAAAAAGGTATTGATTACACAAATTATCAGTTTCATATTAATTCATAAAACAAAATCCTTATCATGCAATTAATATTATAAGAATGCATTGTATTTTTTAATCAAATTTTCTTCTTATTTGATCAATTATTTTGCATTCATCTTTTTAATTTATACTGACCTGATTTTTTTCTCCGAAAGTATCACTTTAGGGAGGATAACTGGATTATAGCAAAGAATTTTTTTCACTTTGCTATAAAAAGTATGTGTTATTATGTGAGGTCTGATTGCGTTAATCAATTGTTCACTCTAAGCTCTTAGTTTTACCTATTAAGCTTAACGGTGAGTTTCTCATGGGATTCGGGGTCTTTTCTTCTGTATTGGGTTGGAGAGTGTTGCCCACGAAAAGTTTTTTTCCCATACCTGGCATCCCAATGGCCAGACAACGATATTGCAACGCACGGTCCAAGTTTCAGTACTTACGAGCATGAGAGTGTTGAGACCAACAACGCCCAGTCTAGATCCAGAAATCAAGCGTGTGACATTGCAACACTCCTGATCCAAGGCCTTGGCTTCCATTGAAGCGCCGCAACGCCATTTGAAAGCACCCTATAACGGAAATTAAGTCGTCGTTTGATAAAATTTTTAGTTTTTGTTAATAAGAGGGTATGCAATCTTTTATTTCCCCGGTTTAAGGAGAGGAGAAAAGCATTCTGAACTGTTTCAAAGTTTGGAGAGTTTGGAGTATGGTGTAATTTCTATAATGAGACATTAAATCTTTTGGTACGATGTGGTTCATGCCTTTTTCCTGTTCTTTAGTCTTTCCATATTAAACATTAAATTCTTTGTATTTTCTGTGCTTTTTCCTAGCGTTTTTTAGTTTATGTATTTCTATTCAAAATTTTATTTCGCATCTCTCACAACAGTTCATTATTCTGTTTATGCTACAGATAACTCTCGAGTATATCTATTTAGCAATTGGCTCAGGAGTGGCATCTTTTCTCCGTAAGTGAAATTACCATGTAATCACCTAATGGTATTTCTATGCATATATAGCTTATTACATGTGTTTTTATTTTCACCAGAGGTGGCATGCTGGATGGCTACTGGTGAGAGACAAGCAGCAAAAATAAGGAACTTGTACCTTAAAACTATATTAAGGCAAGAAATAGCTTTCTTTGACAAGGAAACCAACACAGGAGAAGTTGTTGAAAGAATGTCAGGCGATACTGTTCTAATACAAGATGCCATGGGTGAGAAGGTACGTACAAATTAATATCAATACTCATCCATTTATAAACATAAAGTTTCAAGCTGCTGATACCAGGTGTTTTTCCTTTCTGAAATGTATATCAGGTCGGTAAATGCATTCAGCTAATGTCAACATTTTTTGGGAGTTTTATAGTAGCGTTTGTGCAAGGATGGCTTCTATCCCTCATGATGCTCTCTATAATTCCACTCTACATGATTTCTGGTGGAATAATGTCTACATTTCTATCAAAGATGGCATCGAAGGGCCAGACTGCCTATGGTGAAGCAGCAGTGGTCGTAGAGCAATCAATTGACTTAATCAGAACCGTAAGTAATGCACTCTTTACAAACATGTATGATAAATAAATATTTCAATGAACAAATACAACACTTGCAGTAATATTTACAGCTGTGTTCACTTTCAGGTAGCATCTTTCACTGGGGAGAAGCTTTCAGTGACGAAATACAGTAATGCACTAAGAAATGCCTATGCTTCCTGTGTTCGTGCAGGACTGGCTGCTGGACTGGGCATTGGCTCTCTTGTTCTCCTCATGTTCTGCGGGTACTCAAGTTCTGCGGGCACTCATGGGGTATATGGAATGGGGCAAAGCTAATATTAGACAAAAACAAAGGGTACACTGGTGCGGACGTCATTAACATTGTTTTTGCAATCCTGACTGGTTTCGCGTAAGTTTCTAGCATCTCAATGGTTACTCATCTATAAGTGTGTGTGTGTGAAAATATCAAAGAAATCAGCATGGTATACTGATGTTAATGGTGCAATCATATTGGTCCAGTTCTCTAGGTGAGGCATCTCCATGCTTTTCAGCATTGGCAGCAGGACAAGTTGCAGCATACAAAATTTTTAAAACGATCGACAGAAAACCAGAGATTGATGCTTATGATACAACTGGTAAGAAATTGAATGACATTCGAGGAGATATTGAATTCAGAGATATACATTTCAGCTACCCTGCAAGACCAGATGAACAGATATTTAGAGGATTCTCACTTTTAATTGAGAGCGGCACAACTGTAGCACTAGTTGGAGAGAGCGGGAGTGGCAAGTCCACAGTGATTAGCTTAATTGAAAGGTTTTACGACCCGCAAGCTGGTGAGGTTCTTATTGATGGAATAAATATTAAGGAGTTCCAGCTTATGTGGCTCAGGGGTAACATTGGGCTAGTGAGCCAGGAGCCTGTTCTTTTTGCCTCCAGTATTCAAGATAACATCTCTTACGGCAAGGATGATGCAACAACTGAAGAGATTAGACTTGCCGTTGAACTAGCTAATGCTTCAAAATTCATTGGCATGATGCCCGAGGTTGATCTTCACCTTCCAATACTATTATGTTGTTGTTTTAAATACACGAACGTCTAAATTCTTGAACTGGTGATCTACAGGGACTGGATACCATGGTCGGAGAGCATGGAATTCAACTATCTGGGGGCCAGAAACAAAGAATTGCGATTGCTCGAGCTATTCTAAAGAATCCAAAAATATTATTGCTTGATGAAGCAACTAGTGCTCTTGATGCAAAATCTGAAAGAATTGTACAGGAAGCATTGGATAAAGTCATGAAGAACCGTACGACTGTTGTAGTTGCTCATCGTTTGAGCACAGTGAGAAATGCGGAATCTATTGCTGTTATGTGTCGGGTTCCATTGTTGAAAAAGGTATAAATCCTGCCGGAGATACAGTCAGTAGATATTTACCAAATGTTGCTCGCTTTTAATAGTTTAGAAGCAGAGAACTACGTGTGGCTTTTGAGTATAATAAAATGTTATTTGTCTTGACTAGGTTCGCATGAGGAGCTTGTAAAGGATCCAAATGGCGCTTATAGCCAGCTTATTCGTATGCAGCAAATGAGAGAAAACTCCAATCTATTAACTCAACCTGCTAATGGCAAAGCAAAGTCTTACTCTGCTGATGGATCCAGCCGTTCTCGTCATCACTCCATTAGCGGACAATTTTCTTCAGGGCACAGCAGTCAATCCTACTCATTCTCCAGGGGACTGGGACTCTCTATTGAAAGTGCATCAGGGCACCAAAACGAACAGCAGAATCCAGAAAAACGAAAGGAAGTTCCTCTCAGTCGCCTTGCCAGCTTAAACAAGCCAGAGATCCCACTATTGCTGCTTGGTTCGTTATTTGCAATAGTTAGTGGGCTTGTCTTTCCAATTTTTGGATTATTACTATCCAGTGTTATAAAAAGTTTGTATCAACCTCCAAATAAGCTCATGAAGGAGACTGAATTTTGGTCCCTAATATTCCTATTATTCGGAATCATTTCTATGGTGGCAATTGCAGCAAGTTCATACTTCTTTGGAGTTGCTGGATCCAGATTGATAAGAAGGATTAGATTGATGACATTTGAAAAGATTGTTAACATGGAGATAGCATGGTTTGATGATCCTGAGAACTCCACCGGAGCAATTGGTGCAAGATTGTCATCAGATGCAGCTACGGTTAGAAGTCTGGTTGGAGATGCCCTCTCACTGATTGTTAAGAATATCACCACCATAATTGCTGGTTTGGCAATTGCTTTTAATGCCAATTGGCAACTCTCTCTTATCTTTTTGGCAATGATACCCCTCCTTGGTCTCACTGGATTTATCCAAATGAAGTCCATGAAGGGATTTAAAAATGAAGCAAAGGTGTGTCTCTATAGATTAGCATAAATTATTTATTTACATGTATGCAACATATTCGTACTGCAAACTTAACAATGAGTTTATGTGTGTGCTCGTGTATATTTTGTATATCTTAAAATTGCTGCATATCAAGTATGAGGGAGCAAGCCAAGTTTCTAATGAAGCGGTGGGAAACATAAGGACAGTTGCTTCATACTCAGCTGAAGGGAAGGTCATGGAACTGTACAAGAAAAAGTGTGAAGGGCCTATGAGAACAGGGATAAAAAAAGGAGTCATTAGTGGAATTGGATTTGGAGTTTCCAGTTTTTTGATCTTTTGTGTTTATGCAACTAATTTTTTCGCTGCTTCAATCCTACTTGATGATGGGAAGATAACATTTGACCACGTGTTTATGGTATGTATGACTTCCAATTAAAAATATTAAAGCAGAATCTCATTTACATTCTTTTCTCAATACTGCCTTAATATATTAGGATTTATGTGAGAAAGATGCAGCAGCGCCATGCATGGATGATTTATTTGAATAGTAAAATTTTCAAGATTGTGATGTGTATATTGTCCATCTTCCAGCGAACATTTAAGAATTCTCTACTAGAAGAGAAATCTAGAAGATGCTATTGTGTATTCTCTTTCGCATTTTTTTGCTATTAATTTGTGTGCGCTAATTACATGTTTCAATATGCCTTACGTGTAGGTATTTTTTGCCATAACATTGGCAGCCTTAGGAATTTCACAGTCAAGCAACCTAGGACCAGATTCTGGCAAGGCCAAGGCTGCAGCTACTTCTGTGTTTGCAGTTTTAGACCTCAAATCTAAAATTGACCCAAGTGAAAATTCTGGTGTGACTGCTGAAAAACTCAAAGGCCATATTATTTTCACTCATGTAAATTTCAGTTATCCCACAAGACCTGATGTTAAGATCTTTAAGGATTTATGCTTGTCTATTCAATCCGAAAAGGTAATTTTTTCTTTTCATAAGCCCCAAAAATGCTTGAATCGCCATTGAAGCAATTATGAAGTTCTAATGGTTTCTCTTCTGCTGACAGACCTTAGCATTGGTGGGAGAGAGTGGATGCGGAAAATCAACAGCAATTGCACTATTGCAAAGATTTTATGACCCTAAGTCTGGCCATATACTTTTAGATGGAATTGAGCTTAAAAAGTATAATCTAAGGTGGTTGAGGCAGCAGATGGGTTTGGTGAGTCAAGAACCAGCAATGTTTAATGATACAGTTAGATCAAACATTTCATATGGGAAGGAAAAAGAA